CTAATAACATGAGGCTTACCATAGAGTTTTGAATCATGATCTCGTGCTGCTCTTTCTCTTAAACTCGCCAGAGTTTACTCTCTTTTTTCGGTGTCACTTATTTTGAAATTGTCGCAAAAGTTTTAGATTGTTTTAGAGTGTCTCAGAAGAATTGAAAACATTCAAGCAAAGGAGATAACTGAGAAAATAACACAAAATAAAACAATCCGTAGAATTTCTTTATTTTTTATCTTCCTATCCAATTTCTATTCTTATTTTTTTTCTTCATCTATAAATACTTTCAAATCTACACATCTACTAAGAAAAAAAAATATTATCAAACATTTTTGCATATTAAAAAATCAAGCATACATATATTGGGTTCTCAAATACCATATTTTTTGTCTTCGTTTACGTGTTGAAGAAGTCATTACCATATCGCACATCAACAAACCCTAATCACAGAAAAACACAAAAGCTTGAAGTTTCTAAATAAACGTAGTTCTCCTTACATCATATAAACAAAAAGCGTAAGGCATTTGTAAGAATACTCCAAAACATCATATAACAAAAAAAAGTAAGGCATTTGTAAGAATACTTCAAACACACAAACGACTCCAAATTTAAATAAGTAATCGGTTTTCACTACATCGTGTTAGTAGAGAGGGAGGCCTCGTGGTAGAGAGAGAGATGTATGTGTGTTCCACTTAAACCAACCTACCTCCTCAATTTTTTCTTTTGCCAAGTTTTATTTGTTTCCCATTCTTTTAAAATTTGCAATTTGTTGGAAATTTAACAATTTTCGTGTTGAAGAAGTCATTACCATATCGCACATCAACAAATTCTAATCACAGAAAAACACAAAAGCTTGAAGTTTCTAAATAAATTTAGTTCTCCCTACATCACATAACAAAAATAAAGTGTGGTATTTGTAAGAATACGCCAAACACATAAACGGCTCCAAGTTAAATTAAGCAATCGGTGTCAATACATTGTTTTATTAGAGAGTGAGGCCTCGTGATAGAGAAAGAGATGTATGTGTTTCATTTAAACCAACCTCTACCTCCTCAATTTTGTCTTTTCGAAGCCAAGTTTTGTTTATCTCTCATTCTTTTACAATATGCAATTTGTTGAAAATTTAACAGTTTTTTTTATTATCTTGAGAAAACCGCAAAAATCTTACAGTTTATGTATTTAAAAAGAGACCTAAAATCAAATGGTGCTTACAGGTGGTGCTTTAGGTATTTCTGTACCAAATTAAAACATAATTTTTTTTTTTGCATCTAATATACCTTGGCGAGAAATCAAACCATGATTTAAAAAAAAACATATAAACTGTAAGGTCTACAAAACAAACTAGAAGGCCCTAATACTTTTAGTAAAGTCTCTTGAGTCTGCGCGGGCCAAGTAATTCACTAATATGTTCTTAACGAATGAAAATATCATATGTTTTTTACTCATTCATTTTAAAAAAATATATAAATCAAAATTTATAGGATATTTCATAACATGTATCTTTAATCGCACCAATTTATTAGAAATATATTGTTTAAATATATTGATCTATATTGATTGGAGATTAATTCTCAAAAAACAGAGTTAATTTATGTTTGTTAAATCTCCCCGCGAATATAAAGATCGAAGTTAATACAATAGTCATTTTAGTATTATCCCCTCGTATGACACCTTAATTGGTTATTATTCTCTTTAAGCATAAGAAAATATACTCGTAATAATTTCATATAACTTCATAATTGATCTACTTAAAATTATTACTTTGTATGGTATTGTTGTATAATAAGCCTAAAATTATTACTTTGTATGGTACACAAAAATCCACAACAAAGTGGCCACGACCAACTATTCATCCCTCCGCCAAAATTAAATATTTTGGAAAACCTCTATAAACAACGTTTTTTAATCTTTGTAAGAAGCTTTTCATCTTTGTCTAAACAAAACCATAACCTCTTGTATTTTTTTTTGGATTATAGATGATAGATCAGAATTAATGATAAAATTGTTTACAAATCTTGCTTTTANNTCTCCTTATACTTTACATCTTTTTATTTATTCTTTTCCTCTCCTTTTATTCTCCGTCATAGTCCTTTCATTCTTCTTNTTTTTCTTCTCATCTACTTTACTACTACCTTCACTATGTGCGGACATTCCTTGTCACCAAACATCTTTCTAACAACATTTTTCTCCAAATAATTTTGTTCCAAGCCCAACAAAAAAACCAATAATCAATTAACCAAATCTAATTTATCTTGGAAAGCACATGAAATGAATTACCCAGAACCTTGAACATTATCCTTACACTNGACATGACACCAAAGAGACCTCTAGCTGGTACTTATAAACAACTGTGGGATCCCAGCAATTGTTTATTAATCAAANTGTGAGTAAAGGATATGATGGAGTAATAACTTCATGATTTAATACAAGAAACTAACGCAAAACAGTGAAGTTGAGAAAAGGAAAGAATATGTAATTGCACCACATGAAAGAAAGGATTAGAATTTAACCTTAAAAATTTCGTAGCGAGATTATCTCTATTTTTTTTTTCTGTAGAGGGTAGATATTTGGGATTTGATCAAGGCATTTTCCTAAATATAGATTTTCATAAGTTTAGCAAGAAAATAAGGTTTGATTACCTCTTGATTGAAAATTTGTATTCGAATAGAACAAACCGCTAATTCCTCCAAATTGTTGAAGTGCAAGCAGTCCTATACCAACCTATAACACAAAATTTACATGGNAAACGTGTGAGTTTTTATCACAACAAAATTAGTTCCATAAATAAGAGTAATTGTATCATCAATGGGAAATAGTATCTCCTAGTTTGAGGCCTAGAAAACCGAATTGCAAAACGTTTGCTAAGACATCATTATAAATAAGANAAATATAACCGAATTAATATGGATCAAAATAAAACCCAAACAAAAAAATCATACCTCTAAACAATAAAGAAACTTGTAATACCATCACGACAAACTTTGCCTCCCACACCACTCGCCTTTTTTTAAGGTGGAAA